AAATAACTGCAAGTTTGTTACAAAAAGACTATGTGAGTTGTGGTGTCATGAGAATATGTGAATTCTATATAGTTTTCATAAAATATTTTTAGCATAAAATGCTGCTTGGAAACACTTTTAAAACATATCCAAATTCCTTTGAAAATACCTATTGTTTGCAATGTATAAAGAACACATACCAAATTTACGTAAATTAACACAAATTAGAGCATCATCAAATGTATACCTTATAATGTTATATTTCCCATTATTACACCAATATTTTATGAAACTTTTATTCATTTCTTAATTCTAAATTGAATGGTACTTTTGTCACCTAGATGACTATCTTACCCAGAGACAACACAGTAAATTGATCTTTTGATGGAGTTCCATCCAGTTCTGTCATCAGCTCTTCTTCTTTTTTAAACAGGTGTCTAGTGCGTGGATCTGGGGACTGCGTCATGCTGGCATGCGCCAACCAATCTGCTATCTGGGAGCTCACAACATGAACTTGATCTAGAAATAATATTTATCATCGATTCATGTGTCCATTTTTTTTTCTCAATTAATAAATAAAAATTTACATTTACATGTATTACAAAAAAAAACTAATTTTGCAACCATTACAAATGAGTTTGTGACTGAGTGTATAATTGAAAAAAATCATTACTAGCCTGAATAATAATTCAAAAAGATTAATTTTCATATTAATTAATTACCAACCTGCTAATTTAAAGAATTACAACAAGGAAATAATTCATACTATCAGGGTAGTAAACAAAATAATGAAAGTTTACCTTCAGTGAGGAGTTGCTGATGTAATGCCGCTATGTGGTTGATGAAAAGAAGAGCTCTGATCTGGGTATCATGGTCAAAACCAACTGTAGAAATCCATCTGCAAATGATAAAAATAACTTTTTTTACAAAAATGCAAATAACAAAACATAAAATATTGTCCAAGATCTCATGTATAATCATACATAATCAATAATTGGACAATAATATACTTTTCTAAACATTTCCCAGATTTAAGTTTTAGGTGTCACTCCCACCACACTGCCAAATTGTGGAAGTATGAAACTAATATTTGAACTTACCTCACCATCAGAGGTATGATTTGTCCAAAATCACCCAAAGTTGGTCCCTAGCATGAAAAGACAAATTACAATATTACATAATATTGTAATAAATGAGTTTTAAAAAAAACATTTAAATGCAGTAATTCATTCAACAATGTGCTTAATATCCAGGCAAATACTACTACTACTACTACTAGTAAGTAAAATGTGACAGTTTCGTGAATGTAAACACAATCTTACCTGAGAAGCAATAACTTGTAAACTTTGTGCTAGTTGCACGTTCTTAGATCCAGTGTTGAAATCAAAAATCTTGATTTCTTCACAAGGTGTTAATTCTGCAAGAACTGCTACACATATAACCCTACTTCGCCAACTGCATTCTTCTGTATCTGTCAATATCTTTACGAGTTTGTTAATTAGCTCTTGGGGAATGCTGAAAATAATATTGCATGCAGATGTGACAATCAAATCCTTTACTCAATATAGCGCACCACAAAAGATTTAATGCTAGTCCGTAAATAAGCCTTGGATGTTTCTGTGTTCTACCTACGGTGAATTTCAATTTTATAATGAAATATAAAACACTTGCCTTCTTCTGTATCTTGTACAGTGAAGTAATAGGTAAAGTTGACGCATCTTTTGGATAAAACCTTCCCCATTTATATCAGCTACTGTGTTTGTCTGTATCCTGCCACAAAAATCATTCAAGTCATGTTGTGAGTAACCCCTGCAAAAATAAACTAAGGAAGCTCAACAGCAGTATACACTGTTATCTTAAAACCAACATATTTGTAAAGGTACACATGCAAGCAAAATTACTGCATATATTAGTAGGTCAAAGATATTTACCTAAGCACAATTACTTTGCCTCAGTTTTTGGCCTTACTTGCTAGTACCTTTGTCGGAGGTAAGGTCTCACCCCACCTAGCATTTCAGACTGAAGTGGCTGTAAATATTCATGTCCTGACAATACTTTTGTTCTCTGCCACACCTTTAAGTATATAATTCAAAATTAAAGAGTTTTGTGTCCATTCAGGCACCATTTTGACAAAGTCTTGGTCTTTCTATTTCAATTATATAGCTGTGCTGTCACACCACTTATTGTTAGTGACTTTCCATTTTGCAATGGCAAACTTGTGACTGGCCTCAAGATAAGCAAGATTTATACCAATGGCATACAGTAGTAGTATCAGCACATGTGCGGTGAAACCTTACCTATAGTAAGGGTACCTAGGCCAAAAACAGACAAACACTCTCCATGAATCTAAATATGCACTACCTCAAAGCACATCTACGAGTAGCCTGCATTCATTTTAATGGTAGGGTAAATTATAAGAAACTTTAGCAAAGTCCATTTCATGGCATATACTAATAATTTACCAAAACACAAACTTTTATTTTATCTGTGACAGTGATACTAGTTGGAGACTGAGAAAGGCCTGAAACTAAATCAAGTACTGTAAGTGTATATTTGCATTTGGCCAACGGTTATCATAACCGTTTAATTTACTTCAGCGACTATTTAATTGGGGCCGTAGCGATAGTCCGAAGGTTCAATAGTCCGAAGGTTCATTGGTCCGAATGTTCACTATAAAACCTTCGGACCAATGAACCCTTGATTAAAAAATCGATGAAAATGTTACCACTTTTCGGACCAATGAACCTTCGGACCAATGAACCTTCGGACTATCGAGACGCCCCCATTTAATTGACTATTTCTATATTGATTGCCCAGTGTGGTATTTTTGTTTTAGTTTTAAACTCATCGACAAATTGACAGGCCATCGCGCATTAGCCAGTATCCACATCTCCAGGGCCGTAGCCTGAGCAAATTGCCAGGGGGGGCAGTAAGCGGACACGAGGGGGCGAAGCTACTGAGGGGGGTGGGTATGGTGTGTAAAATTCCAAATTCCAGGGGGGG